ATGGCACGTGGAACTAGAACAGTCTACCCCTGTGAGCGAAATAAAGGGTTCAGTTCGACATTCAAACCAACTGAAGAAGGCCGGTGCGTTCAACGGCCGAAATGTAATAAATACGGCGACAAAGACGAGGACAATAGTCAGAATAATGTAAATAGTGTACATAATACCTCATCTCAGAAATATAGACAGATACTGAAGGGCCGAAACGTTGTGATAAATATGGCAAGAAAGATGAGGACAATAGTCCGAATAATGTAAATTGTGTACATAATACCTCATCTCAGATATATTGACAGATACTGGACAAAAGCTGGAAGAAAGTGATTTGAAATTTTCTTTCCTGTTAAACTTTCTTCAGAAAATGACTTTTCCCGCCTTTTTGATAATTTTGGCATTCAATTATCCGGAATTTTTAATTATCCGAACCTATTTTTTTAATCCCTGCCCTAAGGAGTCCAGATAATCGAGGGAGCGGGCATGGCGGCTTGAGTGGAAGATCAAATGGATTCGTACCTTTCTCAAGAGTTTTGGGGTTTCCATCACGTTAAAATATCGGTTACCGAACGATCACTGATGTTAAGCAACGCCGAGCCTGGTCAGTACCTAAATGAGTTACTGCTTAGTAATAACAGTTGCCGTAATCTTGGATGTACGGACGGTGTAAGGGATAATGGTTCGCATTTGTTAATCAGATAACTGAGTTTCAATTCTCGTCAGGTTTGTTATATTCTCTTACACGCAAATACCCTTGGGAAAGATATGAATCCGCTTCTCCTCCCGCCAGCTAAGAGCTTTTTTTATCGATATAAACATTATTATATTAAAAAATATTATTACTATCTCAAAACATTTTCTGACTTTAAATAACCTACAAAGGGTTGATAAGCCGTAAAAAACGAATCAATCAATCAAGCGTATTTGTGTGGAAGTGAACAAAACAGACACGGCTGGATTTTGAACTCGGTTCCGATTTCACTTTCTTTGTTGATAACCGTTATTTTTAAATGGAAGATTCAAACTAGAGGAACTATTTGATCGAAAAAAGAAATTTAAATGTAAACAAACCTTGTACAATTCGGTGCTAGTAACACTAGCTAAGATATAATTAGACAGGTGTTGTCAGAAACCAAATAAAAGGATAAAACCAAGCCTACTCGAACGGAACGGAAACATTAGACAAACAGCTGCTATAAATAAGATATCGAAAACATACCTATCTCACTAACCCGATTCTATGTGTTATGTTTCACGTTATCAATTGGAATAAAATAAATAAATAAATAAATAAATGAATGAATGAATATGTTCTCTTTAAAAAACAAAAAAAAAACAATTGACAGGCCTGAAGAACAGCGGGTTTCAGGTGGAAATATTTTAGCATTGACTCAGGTTTATCGTCAAGGTCTTAGTAGACGCTACATGTAGAGTTTATTTTTTCGGAAAACAAATTTTTACGTTGTTCAATAATTAAATGACATATTATTCAAGTACAATAAAAAAAAAATTCAAAATATAAACATTATGGATATTTTTAAGATGTCAGAAAAAATTAAAATCTGTCCTTTCCTCTACCTCTATAAAACTTGAAGTGTGATGGTAGACTTATATTGCAAAGTATGATGTGTATTTGAAATATCAAATAGTTTTCATTATTCCTTTGAAACAACAAATAGAAACCTTTGATCTTTGAAACATCAAATAGTGTTCATTATTCCTTTAAAACATCAAATTGGGACCTTTATTCCTTTAAAACATCATTTTCGATGACCGGTTACACTATACACAAGTAATATATATATATATATATATATATATATATATATATATATATATATATATATATATATTTTTAGGTTTAAAATCATGCATTTTTGATGACCGGTCTGCTCTATACACAGGTAATTTTTTTTTTCTGGATGAGTTTAAATTCGTGCAAAAAAAACACTTATCTCACTAGTCCCAAAGTCGGCTATATACGGTATACAATCAGAGAAAGATAATGAGGAAAGAGGACCTAGAAAATTTAACACTCACACGGCATAATGAAGGCCAGAGAAAGAGAGGAAAAATAGTGAGGACGAATGACAGTACATGATAAAGAGGGGATGTTAAAGAGCAGACGTTACTAAGAGCAACAAAAAACAGAAGTTATGGAGGACTTTGATCGTCCACGTCCTGAAAGGACATAACTCATAAAAGTAGTAGTAGTAGTAGTAGAAGAAGAATATCCAATAGTTAATTTGCTTTAAAAAAAACTCATCATATTAGAGCAGCCAAACTAAAAGAAATACAGTTAATGCATCAGTCGCCATTATTCCCGATTGGGCAACATTCATCGATTTGACATATCTACTTTCAATCGAACGTCGATAATCGTAGAGGAAGCTATCAGTTATTGATAATTATTTTCTTTGTGATGCCGTGTAACCTGAACTGGTATTTCTTCATCAAATAAAGCAAACAAAAATGTCCACCTATTCATCAACGTCAGAAAACGTTGCTTCATAATACGTTTAAGGTGACATGTTCATTTATCAACAACCGAATCCCTAAAACGACTGATACCAGAAACAAAACATTTACAAACTAGCATATCTTCTTCGGTGCGTTTGTTAACCCACTGTGACAAATAAAAGGAAAACTCAATAGGCTTCATGTTTCAGCGAATCGTTGGAACTATCGATTTTCATAATAAATAATATCATTTGTCTTTGTAAATTTACTGATCGCACACTTCGACTTCACCTATTTAATGATATACTCCGTTGATATGGTAACGGTAGGCGCTACTCGACGCTGATAAGCGAAAAAGTCTCGTATTACCATAACAACGGAATATTTAATGAGTAAGGAGATGAAAAATAGTCCCAATAGTTTATGATCTGTCTGCATTTTTGGAATGAGCAGTTATCATTATTTGCTCTATTTACATTCGGACTATTGTCGTTTCGTTCAACTTGGAATTCCTTGTGTGTTATATATATATATATAGAGAGAGAGAGAGATAGATAGATAGATAGATAGATAGATAGATAGATAGATAGATGTGTAAATTACTCTCGAGTAGTTTGTAACGCACTATTTATCATCTCTCAGTTGCGTCTCTGTCTTTGGGCAGAGTGCGCACAGGGGCGGCTCCATCAAGGGACAGAGTCGCAACTGAAAGGTGCCCATCCCTGGGAAACAGCTGCCCGATGCCGCGCTCTCTCATTGGACCAGAGAATGATCGGCGCTCGCACCGAGGCCAGCGCAACCGACGGTTGCGGGGGTTCAGGCAATTTTTGTTCCTAGCCCGGGTGTACATGTTCGGGATCCCCACATTAAACCAACCTTGTGTCACAACCTGACCTCGTGGGTGGTTGAGTAAATAGCATATTCAGTATAAAACACCATGTAATATAGCATACTTGATAATTAAATATTCCATTGTTGTGGTAATAGAAGGCGTTACTCGTCACCATTTCTCGTTTTAATATGATATCAGAATATCTCATTAGTAAATAGGGGAGACCAGGTTACTAATAAGTTAGATTTAGGTGCAGACTTTTACCTTTAATGATTTAAAAAGTAGATTTATTACGTATTATGTGACACACTGGCACTCCTCTTTGAACAGGACACCGACATAGTAAGGCAAACGTTAAAGGTGTTTGAAGCCATTCTAAAGCCTCGTTGATGCATTGCAGGATATTTTCGTAGTAGTATATCAAGATTTATTTCGTTTTGTGTGTATTTGCATAAAGTGTTTAAGTATTAGCTTTGTGGATGACTGTGTTGCGCTAGTAATGTTTTAAATGCCATGATTTCTAAAAGATAAAAAATTGAACAACGAACAAACTTTAGTATTTGAAAAGAATCTCAACACATTTCGAAAAGTCGTTCATCTGAATGGCAGTGAAATCTAAATTTGGTCGTCATTAAATATCGTTATGCTGCCATAGTTTCACCTGGAGCATTTGTTATTCATTAGCTGCTTACGAAGAGTGACAAGAAAAGAAGCGCTCGCATCCACCCTTCTTCGCGCCAAACTGACAACTGGTGTCCATCAAGACACTACTGTTTTGTACTAAGAATAACATTCATTTAGTGAAGGACTAAAAGCTGTTGTTGCGTCATGACAGCAATTAAAAATGATGAACGGTTTCTTTCTTTTCATGTGCCATGTCCTTTAAGGTCGTAGGCGATCATGACTCTCCACCTCCTTCTATCCTTTGCAGCTCTCAACAAGTTCCTTCCGTCTGCTTCTTCCCCCTAGACCACGTTCTGTCATCCACTTGCTTAAGTCCGCCAGGAATGTCACGCGTTGTTTTCCCTTGTGTCTATTTCTCTCTATTTGACCCGTGAGGGTCAGATTCCCCACGCCCTCCTTCCTCGTTATGTGTCCCAGAAACTTCAGCTGCCTCTTCCTGATATTAAGTATAAGCCTCCTCCTTGTTTGCAAGCTCTTTAAGACCTCATTGTTGCTCACACGCTCGGTCCTTGGTAACATTGGCATCTTTCTGTAGAACCACATCACTGTCACCTTGAGTCTCTTCTTCATCTTTGAGGAAATAGTATACACTTTCTTCTCACGGAGTATTTCTTTTCCCGTCTGTCCTCATATTTTGTCGGGGAGGGACCTTCTTTTCTTAACGGTTTAACCAATCTGTTCTCTTACCCTCTTCAGGCGAAGAGATCTGATACAAATTCTAGTTAGTCTTAAACTGTTTGTAATCCGGTCTAATTAGCAGATCGCTTTTTGATTAAATGATTGATTGATTTGTTTTTTACGGTTTATCAACCTTTTGCCGGTTATTTAAAGCCAGAAAATATTTTTAGATTGTAAGATTTTTTGGAGATAATAATGATTTCCTTATACAAATCTTACTACTTAACCCATAGCTGGAGGGAGCTGAATACATATCTTTCCAAAGTGTATAACGAACCCGACTGGAATTGGAACTCAGCTCTCTAATTTCTCATTCTGAGCCTTTATTCATTACACTACCCGGATATTCAAGCTTACAGCACCTGGTATTTCTAAGCAGTCACCCATCTAGGTATTGACCAGGCTCGACGTTGCTTAACTTCGGTGATCTTACGTGAGGCGGTGGGTCAACGTAGTTGGTTCCTCTTCCAAGATACAAGTATTAACATCTCAAAGAACGAGAAAGATCATTGCTGGACATCTGTCAGATTTATGCTTCTGTGCAACATTGAATGCTGAACAATTTCCTTACAAATGAAAAAGAGACTTGAAGCAATTGATATGAATACATATGAATGCTAAGAATACTATGAAGAGAAAATACATCAGTAACGTAGAAGCTCAAAATAAATTAAAAGTAGAAAGAAACTAGATAAAGATTTCTAGGCCCCGAGAGGCAGTTTTTTAATGAATTAAGTGGGGTAAATCACAGCAGCCAGTCGTGGGTTGAAATTTATAAAAATCTTTTTACTAAGACAGTTTTTCAGGGAAATAGGTTTCTTAAGTCGACTGTTACTGCACTTTCGAACACTCATAGGTGCTTTCTTCCTAATCTTTTTCAATGTAGTGTGGAATGTTAATACCTTGTAGATCTCCCAAATTTTGCAATTTTCTGTTGTTTGTTACAGTTCTATGTGATTCTCTAGTGTCAGTCCATGAAGTTCAAAGAAGGTTTTCCCTCACAACTGGGTTCGTTCGAAGCCATTTTTAATCATTGATCTGAGAAAGCGGTTTTATACAGCTGGCAGTTTAGATATTTCTAAGCGTTTGGTGGGATAAGTGACATCCATATGACGGGGTCTCAATTTGACGAGGCTAGTAATACAGAAAGACCGAAATGCTAAACGATTTTCTCACAGGTGAAGTAGAATTGCAGAGCGATAGAGAAGTGATTCCCCCAGAAGGATGTCAAGGATGCAATGGGCTGAGCGTGTGAGCAACGAAAAAGTTTTAAAGAAAATGGAAACTAGAAAAATACTCCTACTTAAAATCAGAGAGAGTTAATAATTCTGGAACACATTATGAGGAAGGTCGGCTTGGAAAATTCAATACTCCCAGGAAGGATGGAAGGAGGTCTAGATTGTAACAGTTTATTCGAATGAATGGCAGAGCAAGAAGAAAGAGCGATATTAAGAGATCAAAGATCTTATTCCTTATTAGTGTAAGCAACTTTTGTCTCCTTTTCAGCCTTCATTGTCCCTACTCTGTTATTTAGCCAAGCAAACTCATTAGCTAGGTTACATGCTGTTTTCCACTGGTCCTCCTTGCTTCACTATGCCTTGTGAGTGTTTAATTTTCTAAGCTTTCTTTCCGAGTAATGTGTCCTAATGGATAAAGGCTCATAATGAGAAATTGGAGAGTTCCAATTCCAGTCGGGTTCGTTATATTCATTGGCAGGCAAATACCCTTGGGAAAGGTATGGATCTAGCTATGAGTGACTGAGAATGTCCTCTTCCTATTCATAGGCTAAAGAAGCTTTAGCCTATGAATAGGCAATGACATTCTCAGTCACTCATGTTGCGGGGCCGATAAGGATTCATAGATGTCATTCATGGTGTCAAACCAGTTCAGAAAGATTTAAATTGTCAGCTGTATACAACCATTTCCTAAGATCAATAGTGAAAAATGTCTTTGAGTGAATAAAGCTCAATGGCCTTTGAACATTGGGGACTGGCGCTACAGAATCACAAACGAACTGTACCAAATAACAGAAACCACATCACTTGAGGACTACCAACAGCAGCAACAACTAAAATGTATAGCACATGTAAGTCAAAGAGGAAATAATGACATAACCAAGATGTTAACATTTCAGACATCTTCAAATCGAAGGTTCGGAAGGAAACCCCCATCAATTTTGGAAAGAGCGATAACAGCTACTTGAGAAGAGAAAATAATGAAATAATCAATATGTTGATATTCCACATGACTTCAAACAAAAGTTAGGAAGGAAACCCCTATCAATACTGGAAAGAGTGATAACATCTACTGGGCTTGAGAAAAGAAAATAATGACATGATCAAGATGTTGATATTCCACACGACTTCAAACAAAAGTTTCGGTAGGAAACTGCCATTAATATTTGAAAGAGCGACAACAGTTACTGGGCTTGAGAAGAGAAAATAATAATATAATCTAAATGTTGATATTCCACACGACTCCAAACAAAATGTTAGGAAGAAAACCCCTATCAATATTAGAAAGAGCGATAACACTAGTGGAAATGAGAAACCTGTTTTCTTAGAAAAAGCGTTTTCAGAGAAAGATTTTATAAATTTCAAGTGAAAACAGTACTGGCTACTCGGTCAATGAAGCTCAAATGTTTCCTTGTAGGGAAAAGGCTAATATTACCTTTATCATTGCCATATTTAGCCGTAGTCAATGTGTGTGTGTGTGTATATATATATATATATATATATATATATATATATATATATATATATATATATATATATATATTAATTAAATATAATTAATATTAATTAAATATAATTATCAAATCCTCCCAATAATTACTGTTTGTGTTTATCATTGCTTGAACCGGCTTCTATTGCTCCAGTTGGAGCGGCTTGGTGAGAGTAGTCGTGTCTCCAGGGGGCACAATCCTATGGTTACAGATAACTCAGTAAGAGTTCCGCCACGGAATATGTGAGCGAGCGGCGCTAAGTTGAGTCTGATTTGGAATCTCTTCGTCAGCGAGTCCCATTTTGGAACAGTTGGTATGGTGTTCGCTTGACAACCTAACTGTCAGGGTTTCAATTCTCGGTAGTGGATGCCCACTGCTGATGAGTCCCAAATATAGGACGAAACGGCCGTCCAGTGCTTCCTGCATTCTGTGGAGGTTTCTATCAGACTCGATGAATTATATATATATATAGATAGAGAGAGAGAACGACTGTATGAGTGATTGATTTAAATTTCAGTTGGCGGACACCGGGAGAATTTTTTTTCCTGACAGAAACAAGACCCGATGTTGTCATTCTTACATTTTGGAGCAGAAAGAGAAAAAGAAAGAGTTATTTTCTTCACTTATAGACCTGGATAGCACCACTTGAAGGGCGTCTTTACAGACAAGGTCGGTGTAATTCCCATACGTCCCATTTCTCTGATGTGATGCTGAAAACTTCTCGGCCTGGATCGAAAAGCTCTTTCAAAATAAAATGTTGATGTTGAGTCAGATTTTAGGAAGCAAGTCGGGTTGAAAAACTTTCAACACCCCTTCGTCTCTAATGTCCCATTCACACGGAACAAAAGCATAAAATATCGTTGTTGTTTTTTTTTCACTAGATAAGATAAGAAAGAGATAATGAAAAATATTTTTTTTTAATTTTGACTTCCATCTTTCCACTCAACACGATTTTGATAACAGCTTGTCAAGTATTATCGAAGGTTCCCCGCCGTGATGTAATAAAGTGAAAACTAGTGTAACGGAACAATACCATTCGAATTAAATACATCACTAAATACCCACACACAGACGGCTTGTCTTGTACAAAAGGCAGCTTAACCAATATCAAAAGTTATATAATCTTCTTCCGGCAATAGTTAACATCGGCGTGGTGTAATGGTTAGCAAGCTTATCTCACTAGATCGGTTACGACTGAAAAGTGAGTTCGGTTCTCCCTAGGTGCTCCATACTTTCGGCCTTGTGCCACATTTAAGCTACGCTTAGAAAATAACCATGCTTCTTAAAACTGTGTCAAAACTTTGGTTATTCCCTTGACACCGCTATTTCTGTATACACTTTTAACCCCTTCGGCAATGTTTATTTACAAGACTAGCCGAGAAGCCGTCCTTCGGGCTTTTGCGCCGCTCACATTCAGTGTCCTCTGTACGTAAAAGAATTTGGAAATAATGTTACGAGGATGCATTTCTATAGTAAGAGATTCTACTGAGTCCTACTTGTTAGTACAAAAAAGTTTTCATTCATGAAGTAGTTGTAAAATAGAGAAATTAGAAATAGAACGTTTGGAAGATTCTAGATCATTCCTGTATATTCGAGAAAAATCAAGATGATTCAAGAAACATCTAGAAATGTGCTAATTAGGCGCTAGCCCCTATAAAAATAGGTTTTTGGAAAAAGGTTGTCAGTTGTGAAAAGAAATTTTCTGCCAGTATCAACTCCGGTTTTTGCTTCGAGGATTATTATATCCAGCCGAAAGAATCTCTATGAAAAGTTGCCGACCAATAAAAATCCCAAAAGAGAACCACATGGAACAAATCTGGTAAATAAGAGTTTTGACTAATTTTCATTGACCAAACTACCAATTATTCAATATACAGGGTGTTTCAAAAAGAATACGCCAAAATCATCACGTGATGTGTCAAAAACGAAACAAATTACAAACCTCTAGCATGAATACATGTGTTATATATACATTCAAGTTTCATTTCATGTTTTATAAGCGCTCAATGTGGCCACCACTGGCAGCGCGGACAACATCAAGCCGATATGAGAATTCCTCCCAAACGCGCCTCAGCATGTCACGGTCCACCGTGTTGATTGCATTGATCTTTCAAGCCATCGATACTTGCTGGAAGTGCTGGAACATAAACATGGTCTTTAACATACCCCCACAAGAAAAAGTCACACACAGTGAGGTCCGGAGATCTGGCAGGCAAAGCACAGAGAGCAAGGTCTTTAGCACCTCTCCTCCCAATCCATCGCTGAGGCACGTTTTCATTCAGATAAGCTCTAACCCCGAGATGCCAATGGGGTGGTGCTCCATCTTGCTGAAGTCATTTGAATCTGCTTGCAGTAAAGTGAATAGCCATTTTTGGAGCATTTCGAGATTGGATTATCCTGTTTGTAGCTGCACCTGAAGATATACTAACGAAAGCGGTGAAACTGACACCCAATCAAACTTTGATAACTACTCTATCAAATAACCACTGATTCAGTCCACTACAATGCTATAGACCTGAAAAAACAGCGTAATGATTTTGGCGTATTCTTTTTGAAACATCCTGTATACTCACATTTATGGATTTCCAGTTATTAGCACTTAGATTACTTCGCTTGCCCTAAAGTGGTAATAAAACTTGACTCCCTTTCCTTCTCCCTCGTAACACGTCGCCCGTAAACTCTGTGTTTTCTGTTTTCGTAAGCCACAATTGTTTATCTTGTATATAT